GGGGGAGGCTAAAAAAACATTATAAATATCCCTTTTTTTCATAAAATATCATACTCAAAATCTCAAATACTCAATCCATCTCTCATTCTCTCAAATCTCAATCTATCATTTTTAATTTCTTAATTCTTATCAATCATTCTTAATTTCTTAATTCTTATCTATCTTTTTTAAATATATTATATTTTAATATATAAAATTTAGAAATTATTTGAAATTTTTGAAATTTAATATATCTTTAATATCAAAAAATATATAATGTATATTTTAAATATATTCTCTATTATTTATTGAAATTTTCGAAATTTTAATATATAAAATTTCGAAATTTTTTTAATTTTTCCAAAAGTAATATATTTTTTTAATATCAAAAAAATATATATTAAAATGTCGAGGGAGTCCGGTAGAAGGTCCGTGGATATGGGCGACGTGAACCGAAGTTTGAGTAAAGGCAAAGCTAAAGCCACCTCCGACGGTTCGACCTCACGCGGACGCGGTTCTCAAGGAAGACACTTTGTCTCTTCCTTTCCTACTATCCCCGATCACTTAATCGGGGGCGCTATGACGAATGAAGAATTCGACCAGATTTATTCTGGTAGAGGGGACGCTAATCTCCCCACTCTTGATAGTGTATTCGAAGATCTTGATGAAGCAGGACTGGATAATCTAGACGGGGACGAGGAGCCTACACCACAGAGCAACAACGTCGACGTGGAGGCAGGTGAGCCCGAGACCTCTCGAGGTCCGGACAAAGGTAAAAAAATATAAATCAGATTTATTTGTTTATCATTTTGACAAAGACACAAAAGATGGCATAGTTTATGGAACTTGTAAACATTGCGGGACCGTCATAAAAATGGGAGTTTCTGGCGGTTATGGCGGTCCGGAAAAACACCTAAGGTCGACGCATCCCGTGGAGTACGCCAAATACGAGGCAAAAAAGAAGGGACGACAAGAAGTGCAAACCCAAATTTCTCGGTTTGCTAACAAAGGTAAGGGCGGCCTTTTTGCTTATAGCGACAAGCAAAATAAGCAAAAAAATGGCCAAAATGATTTGTGAAGAAAATTTGCCATACATGTTTTCTGAAAAACTTGGTTTTATTGATTATTGTCAACAGGCATTAAACCCTCAAGCACGAGGTTTTTCAAGATAAACAACTAAACGAGAAATTATTCGCCAGTATAAAATGGAAAAAATTAATTTGGCAAATTTTTTTTCCAATTTTAATTCTCGTGTTGCTATTTGTTCTGATATTTGGGGTGAAACTTATCATAATTTGTCTTATATGGGGGTTACTTGTCATTGGATAGATAGTGATTGGATTATGCATAAACGTGTTCTTGCATTTCGTGATTTCAATGATCAGCATACTGCTGAAAATATTTTTCTATTGCTTCAGAGTATTCTGCGGGAATATAACTTATCTGAAAAAGTTTTTTCATTTGGTTTTGATAATGCTACTAATAATACTGCTGCTATTCGTAGACTTAGAGAAATTTGCCCACCGTCTACGACTATGGGTAGATTTCTGCATCAACGGTGTGCCTGTCATGTTTTAAATTTATGTGTTCAATAGGGACTAGAAGCTATGGGCGGAGTTTTGACAAATATTAAAGAAGGAATTAAAAACATTTGGGGGGCTTGTCTTATTTCGAGGTCCTGGAAGATGTTCTGTAAGTCTAAGGGTAAAAAAGAAATAAGTTTTGCCAGAGATATCAACATTAGATGGAATAGTACTTACAAATTGATTGCACAGATCCTAAGATATAAAGAGGAACTTGCTGAATTTTTTAGGGATGAACTTCGTATAATCATTAATCCTTTTGAATTTGTTATTTTTGAAAAATTGAATGCCGTATTAGAAGTTTTTAATAACGCAACTCTTGCTTTTTCCCATGTTTACCAACCAACTACAAATACATTTTTTAAAGAGTGCATTACAATCGCAACATGTTTTCGTGAAAGTATGGCTGATCCAGATTTGTACCCTTATGTCTCTCCTATGAGAGATAAATAGTGTACTTATTATTTGTACATTCCTGATATTTATAAAATAGGTATTATTTGTGATCCACGATTTAAGATTGAAAATTTTAAAATTCTAATTGAGTATTACTATAGTTGTTTTTTAGATAAAAATAGTTATTACTACAGCTATTTAGTAGAATGGAAAAATGAAAGAGATAATGCTATAACTCTTTTTGAGGATTTGTTTAAGGAATATCAAGGGTTATACGGTACTGTACAAGAAGAAACAGCACCACCTCCGCCCCCGAAATCAAAAAAAGGTTTTGCCAGAATAGTTGGTGGCCTTCTTGCAAAGAAAGGGAAACGTGCCCAGTCTTCGACGAGTTCAAGTGGTACAACAGTAAGCTCGCACAACGAACTTGCTATGTACCAGGGTGTGCCATGCGATTACGATGACGACGACGTCGATTTTGACGTGCTCGGATGGTGGAAGCGGAACGAACACATGTTCCCATGTCTCGGCATGCTAGCAAGACAAGTGTTGTTCGTCCCGGTATCAACCGTAGCAGTTGAACGAGAATTCAGTGCTGGCGGCAACATTCTAACCGACTACCGAAGTTGTCTTAACGCTGAATTTCTTGAAACACTGGTTTGCAACCAAGATTGGCTCTTGGCAAGACGTCGGGCTCAAGAGTCATCGTACCAACTCGAATCGGAGCATTACATGAATGCAACCACAGATGGAAGTCCGAGTTCTGAAGAGTAAGTTATAAATTTTTTTATGTTAATGTAAATATGTAATTAGTTTTTTTAGGTGAGCGATATATAAGCTCCTTCGAGGGTTTCTTTATGGTTCTTTACCTCGACGCTTTTTTTGAATCGTCAGGATATTAAATGTGGTTGTTCTTCAGCTAGTGTATTACTCATTTTCAATATTTAAATAACAACTACATTTTTATATTTTTTATTTCATTCTTTAGGGGGGGGGGGGTGAACCCGGCCGGTCTGGTACCGGAACCACCGGTCTTGGAACCGGAACCGGTACCGGCCGGTCCGGTCACGGTACCGGTGCCATGGGGTGGCGGTACCGGAACCGGCGGTTCCGGAACCGGAACTGTCCCGGAACCGTACCGTGTCCACCCCTAGTATCCGTTGGCCAATATTGAAGAACGCATCTCATAGATCAATCCATCTTATTTTGTAAAGTAATCATTACATTCCTACAAATAAGGAAGATGTCAATGGTTGGGGCAAAATGGTCATTCGGTAAAGTGATACCGACTACTAGGTTGCATAAGGAATGATTATTATTACTATGAGCTCGGTTCCATGGCCACTGGAATCCAGTGGTCATGGAACCGGGCTCAAATTACGGAGTAATTTCTCTTTCATTTAATTATAGTAAGTAATATTATACTCCCTACGTCCCTAAATAGATTACAAATTGCGGATTATGAAGAGAAATATATCTCACTTTTTGAACTCATTTTATTTACAAAATATATGTAAAGCATTTTCTTGTATAATGTGTGTATTTTATCAAATTAAAAAAATTAAAATCATACACAAATTAACATAAATGAAGGGATGTCCTTATATGTAATTTTACTCACAAACAGCTAACTATAAACAGCTAAAGTTGCCAAACATCTAATTTTTAACAGCTAACAGAAACAGCCGGTCAAAACAGCTAACTCCATCCGCCATTAAAACCAGCCAACATAAACAGCCAACAGCCAACTGCCATGTTTCAAACAAGGCCTTAATGAAATCGCGTAAACAAACAAAAAATATCAAGAGGAGAGAAAAAATTATAATCTATTTAGGGACAGGGAGAACTATAATTTGAGGAAAAAAATTTAATATTCCAATTTTTCAAATATATCGTAGGAAGATGCATGGTTATACCCAGACTTACATATGTAATGCAAACAATGCACCCCGATTGCCCACATATGCATTGTCAATTGTTTTTTAGATTTGACTTTTTTTTAATTTTTTCTAATTTTATTCTATTAAATTGTGGTTTAGTGAATAATGACTTATCGATAACTTTGTATGTGATAGAAAAAACTTGAGAATGCGATTTATTCATTGCAAGTGTAATACAGATTTGAGAAATAGTTTACTTATGTGGGATTCGAGCCCACATTTGTAGTATTAACGCTTTACCATTTGAGCTAATAGGCAATGACTTATTTTTTTCAAAGTGACTTTCATCATGCACTTGAACCTACTAATTAAGAGTCTATTCTTTAGGGCTTGAATCTTAACTTCTAGTTTCTTCTAGTTCCATGCAGTTCTTTACAGTTCCTTCTAGTGTTTCAAATTTTTCCAGTTTCTTACCATTCTTCTAGTTTTTTTTAGGTTTTTTCCAGTTCCATCCATTTTCTTCCAACTATTTTTATTTTCTTCAAACTCTTTCTACTTCCCGACCAATTATTTCAAAAAACGATATTATTATTATTGTTGTTATTATTAATATTACTTTTATCATTATTATTACAACTATTATGTTCATAACTATAGTTTATAAATTATTTCATTTTTTCATCTCACAATTTTTATGATTCACACTAATTTTTATTTTTTCTTCAACTTTTTAATATGAATAATACCATTTTTGTATATTAATCTACATGATAAAATAGGAAAACATCAATACGTTAAACTATTTTAAAAATTTGGATAAAATAGTTACATAGAATATTTTTTAATCTAAATTTATATAAGGAAACTATCAATATTTTAATCTAAAATATAATAATGGAATTGGGAGGGGAGTACTACATTAAACCAAGAGAAAACTACATATTGAAAAAGAAAAAAAGACCCAAAAAGTTTTAAAAAAATTCAGATACCAAATAATATCTCCAATAATTAAAATACAACTAAAAAAAATTATACTTTCATTTATTCGTTCTACTTTTTATTTTCTCTAATATGTAAAAGATTTCACATATAAATATAAATAATCCAATTTTTTCTCTTTACTTTCTATTTATTACTCTTTTTTTTCATTTTTATTTATTTCAAATATTAATTTTGTTTTTCATTTTTATAATTTTTTAAAAATAATTGAAAGTCAAAAACCTTAGAGAAAAAGACTAAACTAGAAATAAAACATAAAAAATGTAAAAAAAAGTTCTATCTTTGTTTCAAAAATAAGGTTACAATGAAAATAAAATGTCAATCATTAAAGAAAAAATAGGTTTGATTACACTATGTGACATGTCTGATATTTAAAACAAAATTTTTAAATATATAAAATATAATTACAAATATATTATTTTATAATAAATACTGCATAAATAAAGTGATGTGCAACATAGCCACAATAACTTTTTAATATTTAACATTTTGATATTTCTGCTAATTTTATATTCTAATTAATTATTTTTCAAAAGTATTTTTTTTAGTATGAAAAATAACAATATTTTTTTATTTTAAAAGAATTCATTAAGATAACGTGATGACGATAATAATAATAATAATAATAATAATACTAATAATAATAATACTAATAATAATAATTTATTTTAAGTTTTGGGTGTAAAGTCTTGTAGAGGGCATATCTACGAGCGGTTGTGTCGAGGCTTGTGGGATTCAAGTTCTCGAGTTGTAAACGGTTTGTTAAGCACCCGTAAGCTTAACGGAAGAAGTGGTAGCTTCGAGAGAGTCTTTCGGGGAACTGGACTAGCCACGAGGTGGTGAACCAGTATACATCGGTGTGTTCTTTGCCTTTTCTCTTTTATTTCCGCTGCACTTTCGTTTATATTATTAATCCTGCGAAAATCGGTAATCATTCTCAGCAACTCTATTCACCCCTCCCTCTAGAGTTGCTCGCCTTGTCTAACAATTGGTATCGGAGCAGGTATCTCTAACGCTCCTTGTGACGTTTGAGAAAATGATCAAAATATTTTTTAGAATGTTGAACGCAAAGATTCGAGAAGGGCAATCCACCGTAAGGCCACCATTTTTTGATGGAACGAATTACTCCTATTGGAAGGAGCGGACGAGAATTTTTGTTCAATCTAATGACTTCAAAATTTGGCTTGCTATCAAAAATGGAGATAGCTTGCCGATGAAGAAGATAAGCGATACACTCATCTCGAAGAACGAGGATGAATATGATGAAGCCGACTTCAAGAAGGCTCAATTGAATGCCACCGCCATAAACTTCTTGTATTGTGTTGTCAACGCCAATTCAACGATTATCAAAAGATATCTCGTTGCCAAACCGCCAACCAAATGTGGAACAAGCTCATGATCACATACGAAGGTACGCCTCAAGTTCGTGAATCAAAAATTGATTTACTAACCCATCAATATGAGTTATTTTCTATGAAAGAGAACGAGCTTGTAGAGGACATGTTTGGAAGATTTTCGAACATTATCAACGACCTTGATATGCTTGGAAAGACTTTCACCGACAAGGAGTAAGTGAGGAAAATCCTGCGAAGTCTTACCAAGGAATGGGAGTCCAAGGTTAATTCCATCTACGAAGGCCGAGATTATAACGTCATCACATACGACGGTCTTCGAGGTAACCTTATCACTTATGAAACAAATCATCTCTCTCATACTCTTGATGTAAAGAAGAAAATGGGAATTGCTTTTAAAGCATCCTCTTCTCAAAGTGTAGAGATTAATGATTCGGATAGTGATAGCGATTCTAGTGTTGATAGTGATTCTAGCACTTCTTGTGATATTTTGGTTGAATGTTTTAACGAGTTTATGAAACATGAGCTTAAAAATAGCAAGAAGAAGAACACCCCAAAGTGTCATAAGTGCGGAAAGCTGGGCCACCGAAAATTTGAATGCCCGAAGCTCAAGAAAATGAACAAACAAGATGAATTCGCATACTTTTCGTGGAAGTACGATCAACCTTCCAAATACGATTGTCTCATCGCTCTTGAAGAACAAGACGGGTGATCGGGTA